TTTATAGGCTTCTCCGGTTGATTAATCTCCTCTGTTGGTTGAGAGGAGTTGATCCTTGACGTAGAATGAGATGTACTTTCGTCTTCTCGTGTTGGTAGCAGGTAAAGGAGATTTCCTTTATCTTATCAGAGCCGTGGAAGGATCACTTCACGATTATCTTCAAGATTCATTATGTGCGTTCCCATACCTAAGGCCCAATGTAGTATTCACCATTAAATGCTTCCAGCTTCTTCAATCATATACGCACGTAGTATATGACGTGTACTGCTTTGGGCTTCACTAATTTGTAACTTTAACTTTTGTATCAAATAAACTTGTACTGACAGGGGAATTTAAATATCTTTCTAAGGTAACAAGAAATTACCTTATTGTAGGGATGGGACCGGTTCGGTTCTTACTCAAAATGAGTGGAACTGTTATAAAAGTTTTAACTAATGAAATCGGTTCGGTTCCTATATAAAAAATCAAGAACCGTTATGGAACCGAACCGGTAGTAAACGGTTCGGTTCTTCCTTTTACCGGTTCCTAGAATATTTTTTTCTCGTCTAAGATTAACACATAATTTTAAACACGTCGAAAATTCAAAACACGAGTATTATAATTTTATTTGAAGCTCTAATCACTTCAAACATCAAAGCTCAAACTTAACTAATGAACTTTGAACACTTAATAGAACAAAAGTGATTTAAATTTTCATGTAATAAATGAAACATTAAAAATCATTGTAGCGTCAGAGCGATGAAGGTTACTCGTCATCATAGTAGCAAGAATAGGACGTCTACTTCAAGTCATTCAAAACATAAAAAAAAAAGACATTGAGTTTGCATGTATAGATATAAAAAAACATTATTACATTCTATTGACTCTACAAATTATTATTATTATTATTATTATTATTATTATTATTATTATTATTATTATTATTATTATTATTATTATTATTATTATTATTATTATTATTATTATTATTGTTGTTGTTGTTGTTGTTATTATTGTTGTTATTATTGTTGTTATTATTGTTGTTATTATTGTTGTTATTATTGTTGTTATTATTGTTGTTATTATTGTTGTTATTATTGTTGTTATTATTGTTGTTATTATTGTTGTTATTATTGTTGTTATTATTGTTGTTATTATTGTTGTTATTATTGTTGTTATTATTGTTGTTATTATTGTTGTTATTATTGTTGTTGTTATTATTATTATTATTATTATTGTTGTTGTTATTATTATTATTATTATTGTTGTTGTTGTTATTATTATTATTATTATTATTATTATTATTATTATTATTATTATTATTATTATTATTATTATTATTATTATTATTATTATTATTATTATTATTATTATTATTATTATTATTATTATTATTATTATTATTATTATTATTATTATTATTATTATTATTATTATTATTATTATTATTATTATTATTATTATTATTATTATTATTATTATTATTATTATTATTATTATTATTATTATTATTATTATTATTATTATTATTATTATTATTATTATTATTATTATTATTATTATTATTATTATTATTATTATTATTATTATTATTATTATTATTATTATTATTATTATTATTATTATTATTATTATTATTATTATTATTATTATTATTATTATTATTATTATTATTATTATTATTATTATTATTATTATTATTATTATTATTATTATTATTATTATTATTATTATTATTATTATTATTATTATTATTATTATTATTATTATTATTATTATTATTATTATTATTATTATTATTATTATTATTATTATTATTATTATTATTATTATTATTATTATTATTATTATTATTATTATTATTATTATTATTATTATTATTATTATTATTATTATTATTATTATTATTATTATTATTATTATTATTATTATTATTATTATTATTATTATTATTATTATTATTATTATTATTATTATTATTATTATTATTATTATTATTATTATTATTATTATTATTATTATTATTATTATTATTATTATTATTATTATTATTATTATTATTATTATTATTATTATTATTATTATTATTATTATTATTATTATTATTATTATTATTATTATTATTATTATTATTATTATTATTATTATTATTATTATTATTATTATTATTATTATTATTATTATTATTATTATTATTATTATTATTATTATTATTATTATTATTATTATTATTATTATTATTATTATTATTATTATTATTATTATTATTATTATTATTATTATTATTATTATTACTATTACTACTACTATTACTACTACTAGTACTAATATTATTTTATTTTTTATTTTTTTTAATAACGGTTCCTTAGCGGTTCCATGCACATATTTTTTATAGGAACCAGGAACCGAACCGTTATAACCCGCTTCGGTTCGGTTTCTACAAATGAGGCATTAATTGTTAACGGTTCGGTTCCTAGATGTTGTTAACGGTTCGGTTCCAATCGGTTCTACGGTTCCCAGTTCCAAAATCCCACGGCTTATTGCATTTTTAATTTCCAGTGCATTTTATTTGGTACAAAAATTCTACGGAGTACATTTTATTTTGTCACTTTTGACTAGTTTAGTGTAGTCTTGTTTTATCTTTTGTGACTTTGTTTAATTTATGTATCAAATAAAGTTATACTGATAGGATTTAAATATTCTTTTTAGGTAAACAAAATTTACCTTATTGCTTTTTTAATTTCCAGTATAATTTTGTTTGTTACAAAAATTGTACACTTTTGGATATGATTACTAAAGATAGGAACACGAAACATACATGAGCTTAGTATAGTGACATCATTAAAATCTATCAAAATTGGGTACTAACACGTTTGGGTTTTTTGAACCGGGTGAGTTTTGCGGGTTCCGGTTGGATTATTCAAACCTTGGCTTGAACATGGATTCGGGCCGTGAATGATATTCCCCTCTCATTGTCACTGGTTGCACCAGCAAGTTAGCCAAGCAAGCCAGCAGGGTCCCCTTCACGAGAATGACCATTTCCAACTCTCTTTGTTTTCTTCTCTCTGCTTGTCCTCTTCCTTCCCTCGGTATGTGTGTTTGATACTCTTCCCCCCACCCCACCCCACCCCCACCCACCTGCATACCCCAAACCCTTGCTTACTGTTTACTCTTTCTACTGTTTCTAGTTGCAATAAACTTTTTACCCTACACAATATAAATTTTCAACTACGAGCAGCAAATAATAATGATTACAATGGATAGTTTTTTACCCTGAAGAGTGAAGACTATTTACCAATTTTTATAAAATTTCAATCCTGAAGGAGAAATCTTCACTTATAGCAAATCATGAAAATAGTTTTATGCAAATTTCCAGCGCATTAATATACTATTCATAGGTTTTGTGATATGTACGATCCAAACAATAAAAATGTACATGTTCTCATGTCTCTTTTCAAGACAAAATTACAAAAGAAAACTAAAGTAAAGATGATAATATTAAGAATAAAAAAATAATATAAATAAATGATGCTAAAATTCGTCAACCCCACCACGCTGCGTCCTAGACGTAGCTGCTAAAAGTTACGCAGAGAGCCATGAAATTCAGCACCAAAAGAAGCTGGAAAAAGGACAATACTTCAATTCTTTTAGTGCAATCATGGACAAAAGCACGATCCCAAAGCAAGAAATTACTTTTACTCGATCAACTTATAAAAGAAATAAAAAATAAAGTAAATAGTAATCGTAATATTAGTCCAGGGTTCATGGATTAGGAATTTAGGACACAAATAAATATAATATTGTAATTCAACTCGTAAATGTACTTGGAATATATTTGACGTCCCAAGGTAGCTTCCTAGCTTTGAAAATCATGGGATTGCCATGCAAACTAAAAGACACATCTTTTCATCTCCGGAAAAAATTAATTATATTACTCCTTACACGCAAGATCATGTTCAATCACAAGAGAATATAATCAGCAGCTCATCAGTTTATGAAAGTACACTCATTTTTCCATTATGTTTATCTCATTATGTCCAGCTCCTAATTAAATATTTATGTCATATGGTGATTATGTAATCCCGCAAATTATGCGTCCATTTTTCTATAAGTTTACTAGCTTATAGATCAATCAATCATCATTTACCCCAGTGCCGCAAAGGCTCCCACCTACGGTGGGGTAAGGGGGGGTCAGGTGTACGCAATCTTACCCCTGTACTAAAGCACAGAGAGACTGTTTCCGAATGACCCAGAAAGAAAATCCCAAAATTACATGGACTGACTGCTGCTTCATAAAAAAGAAGAGCAGAAAGTTTGGTGAGCCATTTTGCTTTATTCCATCATATTTTCAAGCCAAAAAATAATGAATCTTTGGCTCCATTGCAAATGATGGAAAAAGTTTACTCGCTTATAGATAAAGTCCTTTAATTAAGATATATAATAAACCCACACTGCAAACATCAAACTTTTTGTTTGGGTTTTGTAAATTCCCGCACAGAAGTTCTTAGAACATTATCTCCAAGTGATGAAAGCAAAATGAAACAATTTAATAAGTACATTAATCTGAGAACTTATAAAACTAATAATTAAGCAAATTTCTCTCTATATATAATGTGGCTAAAGTAAAAGCTCATACCTTAATAGTTTAATATAAAATACATAATTGGATTTTTCCTTAAACCAAAACTTGGTCCCAAACATAGATTAGTGGGAAGTGGGGGAGTAGTGTATGTCAAAAGCTAACACTTTTGTTGAATGAGAAGGCACTACAACAAATAACCCTTAATGATAATTGATCCCAATGTCTTATACATAAAGGTGCTCAATCAAAACACCAAAAATAGTTTGGACACAAATAAACACACACATTGGTAGATATGAAACATGACATGTATTGCAAATGACAGGTCTGTCTTTTCATTTTTTTTTCCTTCTTTTTAAAGATCTGAAGAAATAAAAAGTAGGGGGCCAGGGGTGGGGGCTCAACTTGGGGCTCAACTTATAATCAAAAGCAATGCTTCTTAGCTGTTAATTTATACACCAACTTAACCTATATAGACCTCAAGAGATAGAGCAAATTAAATTGAACAAATTAAAGCATAACTCCACCTCCATATATCTTCAACCAGCCCATCCCCATATGTAAAGTGATTATATATAATTTGAAACTATTTCACTCAAATCCCACAAATTTTAAAAGTAAAAAAAGCATCACTCAGCTCTTTAATTGAAATGCTGTTGCTCCAACCATGGCCAGAATCCAGACTGATCATCAATGCCACAGAACATGCTGGACAAGCTTTCTTCTTTGACCACAGATTGTTCCATCTTGAGGCACTGATGATGCTGATGATGAAGATTATTATCTGATGGCCTTGAAGATGGTGAGTTTTGAAAGAGGTGATGGGAGGCCATGCCAGCTGGCCTCATACTATTGGAAGGGAAAAGAGACCTGCCACTTGGATGGCTGTCAATGGCTGGAGTTTTTGTTCTTGAGATGTCCAGCTTTATCTCTGAGCTGTTCTCACTTCTATTGCTGCAAGATCCTTCTGTTTCTTTGTTGAGGTTTATGGATTCTGTGGGCTGTTGATCCCTGTTTTTTAGTGCCATTATCTGCCATCCCACTTTCTTCAATTAGTTTCAGTTCAATAGAAAAAATATCCAAAATATTTAAAAGAGTATAATTAAAGAAAGGATTATAAGCTAAATATATCCTCAACTATTATCAAATTCACAAATCTATCATATACTTTCACTTTTATTATAAAATGACTCAAACTTCAATTTTTCTAACAATTACACTTTCCATTGATGAATTAGTAAAACGAAAGAAGCAAATCACATATGTATTTCATATTTTTCATTTCTTTTAGTTTTAAGTTTAAAAACTTGTATTGATTATATCTTATTGGTATAGATAAAAGTGTGTAATTTTAAAAAACAAAAAAGAAAAGCATAATTGTTGAAAAAGATGAAGTGTGAGTCTTATTTTAATAAAAGTGAAAGAAATCTAAATCATTAAAACATAACACATTTACTAAATAAAATTATCATTGTTTCGTCTAATTAAATAAGAATCATAAGCCATTCATTATAAAAGAAATTAACAGCTTTTTCCCTTTCATTAATTAGGACTAAATAAGTTCTATTCTAAAAATGAAGCAAAGTTAGTTATATTTGTGAACTTAAACTATCTATATTTCACTTTAACTTTGAGCATGTTTTACTTTTAATTAAAAAATGGAAGGACATGGTATTTGATTTTCTGCCATATCCTTTTAACATATTTAAAATGCAATCAAAAGTGATACAAAAAAAGTCTGAAAGGACTACTTTGGCATACATTATCAAAAGTTTTACTCCCTCCATCCCGGGGAGAAGTTCCCAATTTCCTTATTTGGATGTCCCAAAAGAAACTTCCCATTTCCCTAAATGGAAAGTTATAATACATTAAAACAGTGCCAAACAGTGCCAAACAGTGTCGAAACAGTGCCAAACAGTGTCGAAACAGTGCAAAACAGTAAAATTTACCCCTCAATAACTTTACTTCCTAAAAATGTGTGAAAGTCAACCCGGGAATTTCTCCCTAGAGGGAGGGAGTATATCATAAACGGCCGATTTCATATCCCAAACAAAGTCTATGACTTGACATGTTATGACAATTGAATTAATTGTAAGGTGGACATTTATTTGAAAATCAGAAAAATAATACGGAGTATTAGCACCCAATCTTAATCAAAAGGATAGAGGAATCTTTTTGAAGAGTTTTAGAAGAGGTTAATCATTGGGTCAAAAGTCAAAGTTTCTCACCATGAAAATAGCCAACAATACAAGGTTATCACAATTCTATATTTAGGGTTACACACGCGCACCACTGTTTTTACCGACACCATTTTCACGTACATGTCTAAACGATGTCTATTTGAACAAAAAGCATTTCTCTCATTATTTCTAAATGATGAAAATAATCATGACCAGCCAATAAATTACATGTGAAGTATTTATACATGTACTCATTCTAGAGTTTTACCATTTGTAAAGCAATCTTTTCTTAGCCAAGACTTTCCCTTTATTTACTTATTTCTAATATTAATTTTTAATATACAATTTTTTATTTCGATACTTTATAGAAATTGTAATTTCCGATTATATAAACTTTAATTACTAAAATTGATTTTACCTTTTGGGGAACATGCTTTAATTTTGTCATCATTTAATCTAAAAACGTTAAATTGAATTTCAATTTGGGATGAAAGTATTGGTCAGATCAACAGACACTATGTGACTTCATTTCACCTAACCACAAACTTTAGTTTGAACAAAAATACACTAATTAAGGCATTTATGATGAACCACATCAAAATCCTCGGATGTGGTAATTGAGAAATAAGTCCACTCTTCACCAAATTTAGAGTGTAGCAATAATATAACTACTGATTCATTGTGTATTGTACTACCTACATTCTCCTTCAATTGCAACACTTTTGACTTTTAATATACTCCGTATTAACTATGTCTGAGTAAAAATTATATAAACAGTTAATATTTTAAGATTTTACATTGAAAAAAAAATTGTATAGAACGATATTTTATACGAAGTGTAATATTTTACTACGTAATATATTTTTACGTATTACGGAGTATTTTGTAATACTAAAATATGGACAAGGATTTTTATTAGTATAAATATGATAAATATGATAAATTTTATACTTTTATAAAAGAACTTTTAACATAAAACATTTTTTAATCTCTTTTATTTATAGAGTAAATGTTTTTTTTTGTAAAATATATAAACGGTTTAACATGATTGATAAAAAGATTCAAAGATTTCAAAGTTGTAATGGAGGAAGGGTACTTATAGCAGTACAAAAACATGCTCAAATTAAGATATTCAATAGTTCAAAAGTCAAACCTTTTAGATCAATAAAGAATTAATTGAGGAAGTATTTTGTTATAACTCTGAGAATATACAGATTACACAATTAATTAATTAAAATTTTAAAAACAATTACCAACCTCAGCATGAAGCTTCTGGTTTTGGGCTTGGAGGGCATCATTTTCAGCTTTGACAGCATCAAATTGTCTCTTAAGGACCTCATAGTCTTTCTCTAACTGCTTGGTCTTCCATCTAGCCCTCCTATTCTGAAACCAAATGGCAATCTGCCTTGGCTGCAGCCCAAGTGCCCTAGCCAACTGCATTTTCCTCTCAGGCTCAAGCTTGTTTCCCAACTCAAAGTTCTTCTCCAGAGTCTTCACCTGTTCCATGTTCAACCTCCTCTTCTTCTCTCCTGCTTGGGACCCATCATCTGACAGATCATCATCTACTCCATGTGCTTCTTCACAGTTTTGTGTTGTTTCCACCCCAGAAAAAGCCATAGATCTCTTCCCTAGAAATGAAGCCACTCCTGATCCAACCAAAATAATAACAATAATCATCAAAATCATCACACATCAAACAGGACATTCAAAAAGCATCACTAAGTTCCAAGAAAGTATACCATGCCCTTATCATTCAAATGATCACATCAAAATAATAATTATGTATAAAACCCTTATTCTATATATCTCTCTGTGTGTACAAACATACATAAATACTAGGTATATATTATTAATAGAGAGGGAGAAAAAGAGAGATCAGAGATGAACCTGGAAAGTCTTGAGGAGTGCAAGAGGGAAGGAGGGGATTGAGAGAAGTGGAGGGTTGATGGTCATGATCTTCATGAGAGGTTTGGAGCATGAAATTTGTGGGAAAGAAAGCCATTTCAGTGCAAGTCATGATAGCCTTTGGATTTGGTTCATGCTTGGAAGAGTGACCAAACAATTGAAGCTAGTAGCTTGTATAGCTAAGTTCTGATCAGATTGCTATAAGCAAGACACTGGGATTTGATTTGTTGTGCAAAGGAAAGCTAAAACTTAAAGAGAGAATTGAAGTAGAGTTGTTTTCAAGAATTGTCTTTGAGTATATATATATTTCTTGAGTTATTAAAAAGAAGAAGAGAGGGTGAGAATGGAATTGGTTGGAGGGTTTGATGTTATCATGTTATGTGTATTACTTATATACCTGTTCAGCTTTAACAAAGCTTTTCCCTTTTTTCTGTTATTTATTTATTTATTTATTTATTTATTTATTTATTTATTTATTTATTTATTTATTTATTTATTTATTTATTTATTTATTTATTTATTTATTTATTTATTTATTTATTTATTTATTTATTTATTTATTTATTTATTTATTTATTTATTTATTTATTTATTTATTTATTTATTTATTTATTTATTTATTTATTTATTTATTTATTTATTTATTTATTTATTTATTTATTTATTTATTTATTTATTTATTTATTTATTTATTTATTTATTTATTTATTTATTTATTTATTTATTTATTTATTTATTTATTTATTTATTTATTTATTTATTTATTTATTTATTTATTTATTTATTTATTTATTTATTTATTTATTTATTTATTTATTTATTTATTTATTTATTTATTTATTTATTTATTTATTTATTTATTTATTTATTTATTTATTTATTTATTTATTTATTTATTTATTTATTTATTTATTTATTTATTTATTTATTTATTTATTTATTTATTTATTTATTTATTTATAATTCGGTTCTTTCACATATACTTGTACTAGTATGATTTTGGATTTGTAGTTCACTTTAATTAATTAAGATTTAAGGTAGTCTATACGTAGTATTACCGGCCAGGCATGTATGTACTTACCATGCGACATAAAATTAATTATAGCATTACAATTTGACATAATGCAAAATAATACTCTCCCCATCCTCTAAGCAGTGGCGGAGCCACAAAAACGGTTGAGGGGTCGAAAATCAACTATATACAAAATGAAAATGGTGAATCGTTTTTAGACAATGTCCGAGTTTAATGTTTCATATGTAGTTTAGATAAATAGACACTCATAGCAATAAGATAGTTGCCTTTGCTATGTTTCTGAGTAATGTCACATGAGTAATGAGTTAATTATATGTTATTTTAAAAATTTGGGAAAATAATCCATATTATGCATCAAGTTTTGTTGATTTTACGTTTAGATAGTGCTGATTTTCCAGAAGTCATAACTTTTTACTCGTAATGAGTTACGGGGGCCATAATATATCAAATCGAAGATATTTCAGAGCTCTTTACTCTCAAACTTTCAGCGGGGTCGGCTGACCACCCTGACCCCCCCTTGGCTCCGCCCCTGCCTCTAAGAATGTTTCATTTTATCTTTTCAGTTTGTCCCACTATTATCTAATATTCCCTCCGTCCCATTAGACTTTGCCAATTTTCCCTTTTTGGTTGTAAAACTTTGTCATTTTCCTATTAAAGCAACTAATTTGTGGTTCTGCACATTTCTCTCTCTTCTGCACAAATCTCAATCACACAATTTTTACTATTCTTATTTCTCACCTACTTTGCACTTGGCAAAGTCCATCGGGACGGATGTAGTATCAAATTTGATAAAGTTTGTGTGGTTATAAATCATTCTTACTTTATTTTTACTTTATTAATTTAATATGATAAATCACTTTTATTAATTTGCGTGTTACTCCCTCTTATCTCATTGTTAGTGGGACAGAAACAGTATTTCACATTACGATTTTGGGAATATTTTTAGTGTATCGATCTTATTTTTATTATATATAAAAAGTACTGGAAATAAATATAAAACGTATTCCATTGATCCTAAATAATTACGATAAAAAAAATTGATCCTAAATAGTTTTAGTGTACATGTATGGACATCTTTAATTTGTTTTGTGCTTAAAATACTCTCTAGCTTTCGTTATATAAAAAGGTAGTTAATAATAAAAATTTATTCAGAAGTGAGTTGGTCATAGTTTTAAGAAAAATGATAATGATATTAAGAAAAGTAGGGTGCTAATTAAGCAAACCAGCTTCCAAATTATTCGAGATATAATCAATTTTTACTCGAGCGTAGCTTGGGTCGATTCAAATTTGACTTGCATTTGAACCCGACTCGAATCCAAAGCAAGTCAAGTTATATATAGAATGTCGACTCGAAAAGCTCTCATACTACACGTACAATTATGAGTTAATATCGATTTTTAAAATTCACACTTAATTAGCATTACATTATACGGAGTAGTGTAGTATATCCATAGTATAGATTCATACATAAAATTATATCCGGTCATATGTCCTACTAAAAATATACAATTGACAATGTTTGTTAAATATTTTAGGCAATCTTTTAAAATGTTGTGCATTTTAAAAATTGGTTTCATGTTTAAAGAATGACTGAGAATTTGTTAAAATCCGGGGTTCCATCCTAAAAGGTCAACCTGTTAGGAGGAGTAGCCCGAAACTTAATATAGCACTCTAATGCTTCTCAATTTTCCGGTGTGGGACATTTAACACTCCTCCTCACGACCAGACATTTCGTCTGGATCATGTCATCATTCAGATTTTCATCGGTTCGTCATTTTTCATAAGGGGCCCCACACCATGGATCAATTTGGCTCTGATACCATATTAAGATCTGGGGTTTCATCCTAAAAGCTCAACCTGTTAGGAGGAGTAGCCCGAAGCTTAATATAGCACTCTAGTGCTTCTCAATTTTCCGGTATGAGACATTTAACACCCCTCCTCACGACCAGACACTTCGTCTGGATCGTGTCGTCATTCATTTTTCATCGGTTCGTCAATTTTTTTTATCGTGTCATCATTTTTCATAAGGGACCCCACACCATGGATCGATTTGGCTCTGATACCATGTTAAGATCCGGGATTTCATCCTAAAAGGTCAACCTGTTAGGAGGAGTAGCCCGAAACTTAATATAACACTCTAATGCTTCTCAATTTTCTGGTGTGGGACATTTAACAGAATTGCAGATATGTGTTTGGAAATATACCATTCTTTAGAACAAATAAATTCTGAATACAACTTGAACTCGACTCGAATGAATTTCAGCTCAAATTCGAGCTCGACTACTTCTTATCAAGGAGATTTGATTTTAGCCGAACTTAAACCCGACTCGGTTGATTAGCACCTCTAAATGAAAGGATTGTGTAATATTTTAATCCGGTTTATGAAATTTGCCGTTGTTATTTCTATTAGATCAACACAGTACAACTTCGTTTTTTTGATAAATTTAGCTAAGTGGTTTTAAGCAGATGCATGTTACTTGTTCCGAATTCTGTACGAATCAGAGTATTATTCCGAGTACTTTTATCTTATTAATAGTTAAGTACTGGTGATTTGGAAATTTCCTGGATATTAAAAGTTCATATAGCCTTCATTACAATATTTGATACTCCCCAATATACCATTTTAATACTACGTTATAATAGATTAAATAACCCTTTCTCCTTTGATTGTATTCCAAAAAGTAGTAAGAGTAATACGGAGTAACTATTTTTGATGTAACTGAAATTGTAAAATTTTCTATTTTAGTTTGGGCTCAAAGACAAAAGTGGGCAGTATTCACCATGTAGGTTTCTGCACTGCCAGTTGTCTTTGAAATTTTGATTAGGACTTGCGAGGGCAACTGATTCGTTGTAAATAATTATAAGTAAGATTTTTGTTTTCGTTTTTTCCCAAGTAAATATTGGGCAAATAGTATAGGATATGATTCATATTTAGATAGATATAATCCGTATCAAGTCGATGGGTTTCCTAACGAGTAAATTGACGTCCTCCATAAATAATTGGGAAAAGGTGCAAATAGGCCCATGTACTAACCAAAAAAGGTCAAATAAGCTCTTATTTAGGAGGTTCTGTCCGGCCGTCGCCATTTGGGGTGGTTCCCGGTGGAATTTTTTGATGAAATTTTTTGATCATCTTATTCATTAAGTCTAGTTTACTCATACCAAATTTCAGCTAAAACTTCAGTCGGGAAGGCATTCAAATGAATTCTTGAAAATAACTGCGCAGTTAGAAGCGCAGTTATCTTCAAGAATTCATTTGAATGCCTTCCCGATTGAAGTTTTAGCTGAAATTTGGTATGAGTAAACTAAACTTGATAAATAAGATGCTCAAAAAATTTCATCAAAAAATTCCACCGGGAACCACCCGAAATGACGACAGCCGGACAGAGCCTCCTAAATAAGGGCTTATTTGACCTTTTTTGGTTAGTACATGGGCCTATTTGCACTTTTTCCCTAAATTATTCTATACTTTCATGGTTGTATGAGTAACACGTAATTAGCGACGGCCAAACCTGCACAAAATCAATGGGCAGGTTTTTTTGAATAGAGTGATCGCTTTTATATTAAAATCAGAAAAGATACAAGATAACATTCAGATAATTATTATGACACATGCGTCTGTGAGTCCTACGAATAGACATAGAATCGGCCACAAAACAAGCAATTTAAAGCCTAAAACAATCAGGACTGAAATACTGTTTATCAATGGGCAGGTTTAAACATACGTAGTATATATTTACCCACCATCCGAGCCCAGCCCATTAAAATATGGGCTAGTTTCGGGTTTTGTATACGTTTGGACGGGCCTAAAAGCCTGGCTCGTAAATTATAGTATATGTAATCTATATAATTGTGCATTTAATACATATAATACATGTATATATACATTTAATTAAATCTCTAAATTTCAGAGTCTAAAGAACACCAATGGACAACCTTTTCCTATGGACGGACTCAATATTTTACTGATATTTATTACTATACTTAGATCTTGTATACTTGCAAGATCAACCCAAGAAGGATGCCCAATGGACATATTTCACTGCCTTATATTGAATAACTTGCAGAGGAGACTGCCAGTTGTGAGCTCATTTCATTCCTAGATGCAGCAGAGTATCATTAAAATTTCATGTAAGAGGATGACGTTGAGAAACACGGTTTTGATGACCTTAAATGGGAATCTCGGTAATACCGTCATCACCTTTGGCTTGAATAACTCAGGGGTCACATACTCGAGGATGGTGAAAAAGATCTTCCTCAAGCTATTAGGCTCGATGATGGAAGCATATGTTGACAACATGATCTTGAGCAGTGAGTAATCACACATATAACCTTCAGGACATTTTCGAGATTATGAAGAAATTCAACCTCCATCTTAATCCAAAGAAGTGCTCTTTCACCGTCCAAGGAGGAAAGATCCTCTGCTACAATTTGAATCGGAAATCAATTTGAATCAATAGAAAATCAAGGTAAGCATCAACATGGAGCCTCCCTGAAACGTTAAGGAGGTATAATGCTTGACGACTCCCGCAACTAGCGAGCCTCAGCCATTACCTGTTTAAGTCTGCGGAGAGGTCACTCTCATTCTTACAAATGATGAGGATAACCATTAGACCTTAGTGGAACTTGTAATGCCGCCAAACTTCCGAATAGTTTAGGTCCTTTGAAAACTAGGGTCTGAGATACATTTTGCATATATTTTGGTGTGACCATAAGTACATTAGTTCGGTGCTCATTTAGGAAGAGGAAAGTGTTCTATGAGCTATGTTTTATGTCTAAAAGCCCATAACTTCCTTATTAAATTATGGTAAGGGTAGAATTGGAAGAAAGATTATACTTTAGTTCTATTTGGGGGGATAAAAACAGTATTGTCTTATTTTTGCATTTTGAGATTGTTTTACTCCTATTTGAGTATATTTCCCTTATTATTACTGGGAAAATAGTAAAGTTTGTGGTAGTTGCTACATGTGCATGTTGTGAGAGGTATTGTCCCATGCCAAGACCTTCTTTTCCCCTTACTGTGACTTAGGCCTTTTTCGTTTGTTGCCTTAGCCCAACCCGGCTCCCCTTTATATGGACTGGCTCTTCTAGTCATTAATACAATGTGATATTAATAGAGATATATTCCCAATCTTGTCTCGAGGTCTGATAGTGTCGAGCTTGAGGTGTAGTCTGATCCTACTATTGCTTTCCCTTTATATGTTGATAATGATAATACTGATGATATTGTACGATGATTCTTTTGAATATGAAAGTCCCACTACTCATACTAAGGTTGACCAATTGCATGATAATGTGAATGAGCATGAATCACATGATGTTCAAGTAGAGTCTGATTTTCATAGTAACAATGAATCACATGATCTTTCTGTGGAGCTTGATTCTTCTGATTTACAAGATTATCAACTTGCGAGAGATAGGAGTAGAGAGCTATTAGAAAAACTATTGATAACATGTCTGATTATGATTTCCATATGCATGATACTCTTACATTTGCATTTTGTGTATGACACCCTTGATTGAATGAGCTAAAAACATGTTGTGAAGCATTGAGTTCTAAAAAGCCCCAAAAGTGGCTTAGTGCTATGAAGAGTGAGATGGAATCTTTAACAGTGAATTAAACCAGGTCTGGACCGCCTTTTTCCTTATACCTCCGAATTGTTCTACTGTTGATTGTCAGCGGCTTCTAAGGTCTAGGAAGAACCCAACAATGCTATTTTTAAGGATAGGGTAGTTGATAAAGGGTTCACAAAGACTAAAAGAGGGGGGTATATTATGCTGAGATATTTGCTCATGTAGCCAATTTTACTACTCTTAGAATTATGCTTGCTATTGTTTCTCACTTTAATTGGGAAATGAAACAGATGGATGTGATCACTGCTTTCGTGCGTGGTTATCTGGATAAGAAAAATTGTAAGGCCCAACTTGAAGGGTTTGTGGAACTCAACAAAAGTGATTATGTGTGTTTACTACAGAAGTCCTTGTATGGGTTGAAGCAGTCCCCTGGGCAATGGAATATTAAGTTTGTCCGATGCATGAAATCCATGAAATTTGTTAAGTCTTCCTGTGACCATTGTTTGTACTATAAGGATCCTTCCTTTGTGCGTGTATCCTTATTACTCTATGTGGATGACATGTTAATCATCAGTCCCAGTCTTAAGTCCATTGTTCATGTGCAAATGTTTGTGTGATAATTTTTCCAAGAAAGACCTATGGGATGCCAAGAGAATCCTAAACAAAAGCATTGTTTAAGATAGGAGAATATCTACTCTTGTTTTAAACCAGATCTCCTATGTGGAAAAAGTTTGGAGTAAATTTAACATGCAAACTGTTGCTCTTGTGATGTCCTTTAGACTCCCATTTTGTGTTAAGTAAGGATCATTTTCCCAAGACTGCTTCTGAAATTAATAAGATAGAATTTGTTCCTTATTCCATTGCAATAGTGGCAATTACGTATCTCATGGTTAGCACTAGGCATGATACTTCTTATGTTGTTAGTTGTTTAAATAGATAGTCCAATTCTTATATGCCTCATTTGAATGCTCTTAAATGGTTGTTGAGGTAATTGAAAGCTAGTATGAAACATGGTTTGGCATTTGCAAAGTGTTCTGGTGGTATTCTATTAAATGGCTATATGAATTCTAACTATGCTAATGATAGAGATAATATGAGGTTAACAACTTCTTATGCTTTCACTTTGTTTCTTTCATTAGTTGAAAGTCTCAACTACAACCTATTGTTGTTCTTCCTACTACTAAATCTGAATATGTAGCTGCCATCGAAGCTTTTAAGGAAGCTATTTGGCTAAAATGCCTTATAGCTGACATTGGTTATCTTAAGCAGGATATTACAGTTTTCTTTCATTGCCAATTTTCCATCCAGCTTTGCAAAAACCAAGTGTTTCATGATAGGACAAAACACATTGATGTGAGGTTCCATTTCATTTAAGAGATTGTGGATTCATGTGATGTCAAGTTGTGCAAGATCTTTTCTGAGTTCAGTCCTGCTGACACGGGGGACCAAATGTCTCTCTATTGAAAAGTTGTTATCTTGTAAATGAACTTTAAACTTGGACTGTAGTTAGCTTTCCCCTCTTAGTGTAGTTTACTTACTTTGTGCTTACAAACTCCTCCTGATCTCTCCTCTTGGGACCGTGTGTTCTCTCTGTTTGCATTGCTTTGAGTTTGTCTGTATGACCTGCTATGCACTGATTGTACTAGTTTTAGGTTGTTATCATTGGTTCTTCAAGGATCTGTGTGACCCGTAGAGTACTTTGTGCTCTTCTTCAATCTTTTATTTGTTCTTGTGGTCTAAGGAGTGCTATGTGCACCTCCAATTTTTTGTTTGCCTATTTTATATTTGTGATACTATAGGTGACCCAACGATGATGAATCTCTCCACGCCATTGTTTAACTCTACGCCACATTGGACTAATAAGATGGAGAATGTGAGAGGTATTGGTCCATGTCAAGGTATTCTTTTCCCCTTACTTGTTCCTGTTTCGTTTGTCTCCCTTCCACAACTCGGCTCCTCTTTGTCTGGACTAGCTCTTTAGTCATTGCTTTCTTACCATACAGGTTACCTGTTCCTTTCCTATATATTGCATTCTTATTTGTCTGCTTCTTTGAGTCACATGTCTGAAACCCAGTCTAGTATCCAAGAATTTATAGCGAGTGAGTTTAGCCTTCTTGCCACCTCTCTTCTTCCGCCCCTCTGTTGCTCTGTGTGAATGTGTTCGATTCTCTGGGAGTTCTAGGGTGAGGCTGGAGAAGATTACTGATTGGGTTGTGGAATGTATTCTGCCTTTATGGGCTTTCCTTGTCCCATGTGGTCCATATGGTGGTTGTGAGTCATGTTCCTTTGTGGTTCTTGTGGCTGGAGATCCGAGCTATAAAAGATCAATCAACCTTACACATGTTTTTAGTCATGCAACTTTAATCACTCACATATCATGTCCCTTAACAAATAATTAAATTTATTCATATTATGATCTTCTTCACTGTAGTGTACTATTTCTAGCAGAAATTTTCATGGAAATGATGCTTCTTTTTTGTGCATTATATTTTGTGCTCGAAATAGTACATTTTAATAAAACTAAAGTCATCATTGTGAACAAACTTATCAGTTGTTGGGCATGATTTACCATAGTAATGGTACAAGACTCTAATTGGGATGTTTATAACTGGAATATGGCAAAATGAGTATATTAAAGTAAGGGGTTGTTTACACACACTAATTAACAAGCGGACGCTGCATGTCACGCCCCGGACCTACCCAGACACGTCAACAACCCGCCGTACTGTACGAATAGTCAACCGCAGTCTAACACATCCATATTATACAAGGCGTCTGGAATATCATTCACACATAGTACATCCATAAACAAACATAATGTAAAATATTCATTAAAGCAGCGGAAACAATATTACAAGTGTTCAAGCCACACTTGGCAAACTTAGGCATACAAGCCCTCAAGTAATTTATTGGAAATATTATCCATGAGCATTATTGGAATTGTTTTGAAAACAGAACGGAGGAAGCACGAACCACGTCTTCTCTCCAAGAACTCCCGAAGCAACGGGTACAGGAAGCAAGCTCTAGCTTCTACCTGAAAACTGTGAGGTGGCCTCCCCCGTGAAGGGGGAGGTCAGTACTTTGAAGCATTTGAAAAGTACAATGACAACTATACTGCATATAATTAATATTTCAATCCCTAAGACCCTCAACATAGGGTGATATCATATTCTAGAAAATAACCCACAGTGCCCCTTTTAAATCATACATAAGTATATAACGTCAAATAGTCGGCCCAAAGGCCCATTTGTATTTGTCAAAAACCCTTTGCATCGCCAAGTGATAATTTATTTCCCCATTTGTATTTAATAATACAATTCGTATCGCCCTGCGATAATTTATTACATTAATAATTCATACAATTTAACCCAAAGGTCACATCAATCATACAGAATCTGTCACCGCTATCCAAGTCCCCGCAGAGCACTCGGTCGGAGTCCAGCATCCTGCCCCTGGACTCGTACCCTTGTTCCCGTAGGAAGGTAAGGGCCATTCGGGATCCTATCTTATGTGTTACCTCTGTCAAAGCCTCGTAAGGTCTTTGATTCAGATTCCACCCTTATACGTGATCACGCTGTAAGTCCATGCTATCCAACTCGCTCTCTAGAGCCAAGCAGAGCCATGGTCCTTACATCTATTCTATTATGGGCCCATGCAGTCCGGCACGATCCTCAGACTCGTCCGACCCATGTCCCTCATCTATCTATTAGCAAGTCCATGTGGTCGGGCATCTATCCTTAGACTAGAGCCGAGTCATGACCCTTGCTACCAATCAAACAATCAATTACGGGTATCCTAAAGACCACCCAGATAATAATATCAACAATCCAATCCTAGGATAATTATACCATTTAAATCATCTAAGGCTATCCAAAATGAATACCCTAGTGATGAAGCATCACAATCCTAAACTTAGGATTCATTTATAAATGTTCATACTATAACCTCGGGCTAGTCACTTAGTACCACCCGAGTTATTCTTAGTTCAAGTTGTCTTTCCCCTTTAAACAAACATGGCGGTCATGCCATAACTCATTCTCACTTCATTCTATATTGACTTTACTAACCATAAAGTCAATACAATTAAATAGTGATTAATAACTTATTTTATTAGTTCATCACTATATCAAGTAATCATGCATCAACTCTTCATATACAACAATATGATCAATTGACACTTTACTTAGCATATTAGTTAATAAAAAATCATGCTTTTATGACATTAGGTAATCTCATGAATTAACCTACTAGTTATGAACAATATAGTCAGCCATCCTCACCTTATGATGTGCTCAACTAGTTGCCTTTGCTAAGCCACTCGATCAATCCCCGTTCTAGGCCGATTGAAAGCGGAAATTCTGGACAGCAGACAAAATCCGGGCGGCTTTTGCAAAAGGTGGGCGGCTTTCGGGCCTACAGCTCGAAAACAGTCCCCAACAATGGCGGTTTCCGGCGATTTCAACTCCTATCGATTCCACGAATCTTCTAAGTTAAATACCACCATTTTATATCAATATAATACACTTTTTAAACGTGTAAAACTCATGATTTACTCCACCATATGATTTCTTAAAAATCATACAACATAAACTAGTTAAAAGAACTATATGAGTTCTTACCTCAATCCTAGCCCCTTTTCTCCTTGGATTTCCTTGCTCTTGCTTCCTCTAAGCTGTGAGATTTGTGAGAGGCTTTTTCCAGAGCTCTCTCTCTTAGTTTGGTCGAGTGAGTGATGTAGAATGATAGGGGAAGCATCTCTATGCAATCAAACCTCCAAAATAAATCAAGGATGGGGTCATGGGGGTGTCATTTTGTGTCTAGGAGCCTTCCTCCTATCTTGTCCGCCCCCTCATGTATTATTGCTCCCATTTGATTATTAAGAGTCTACAAGACATGTAGGAAAAGTTCCAAGTGGGTGTTGAAAGTTCCTCCCGATTATTCCTACTATTTTTGGCAGGTTGAGTCAAAATAATACTTGGGTTGCCCCAACATTTTCCTCAACATTGGTTGGCATTTTATTGGGCTTCTATAATTATTATGATGACCCAACTAATTATTTGGTAGCCCACTCTCAATATCATGTGCCCGATAAATAATTTAATTAATCCTTCATTAATTAAATATACCATTCTTGCACACATAAATATTCGCATAGAAAATTCAAATACATACTCCCTCCGTTCCATTTTACCTGTCCTACTTTCCTTTTTGGGTTGTCCCAAAATAAGTGTCTTCTTTCCTTTTTTGGAAAGAAATATGTGGTCTACACCATTTCACTTTATTATACTCAAACCTCAACCACAACTTTTACTTTTTCAACCACTTCATTAATAATCGTGCCAAGTCAAACTAAGAGCATCCGCATTGATGGGATGTCTAGTCTTAAAAATATATGCCGCCTCACTCTATTAGACATCCTTTGCTTATTTGCTCGTCCAATGCGGGTAGTCTTTGATATACTTCTGCTGACATGGCAAAAAAACTAACGGACACTGTCAAGGGAACTGTTCGAGTGTAGAAGCCCTCCTGGACTTGATGACTAGACAAAACCAACCAATAACAAAAATGCCCGGATGAAAAAAATAAAGTAAAAATCGTATATATTATTTTCTGTTGTGATTATATCGACTGGCTACTTTGTTCAAAGCAGCAAAATGCAGGGTTCTACCCCGGTAATCCAAATAGGCACCACTGTACCAGGCCACCGGCAAGTCATTTTCCGTTCGGAAAAACAGGGATGTTGGATCTACGCACCGGCTCAGACCTCAATCACCAAAAGCCCAAAGGCTC